CTCACTCCTCCCAGCGTTTAGAGAGCGGATTGGGAGACAGTCTTCAGACTGCCTGGTACTGCCTGGACTGTATTTCCCTGCCTTCCCTGAACCTTTCTTGACCTAAGAAAAAAAGAAACAAAATAGCCCCCTCTAGTGGTCGAAGGCGGAATAGCAGCTTCCTATTAGTTTCTATGGACGGAAAAGAGCAGATACGGATCAAATGGTTTTCAATGCATTCCTATGGGAAATGCAGATTTGACCTGCGAACCTTTTGACCTGAGAACCGCCTTCCAATACGGATTAAGTTCTCAAGTCAAGACCCCACTGTATGCATAAAACCATAGCAATAAGGATGAGTTAATTAGCTTCATCTAGGGCAGGGGAACTTCTGGCCTACCAGCTTACCCAAGTCCAAACATTGCCACACATCTTCCCTAAAGCCCTTTCCATAGAAACAGAGTCAGATCTGTGATCTTCTTTTGCCCAATACTATCAGTTCTGACCAGGGATCATGGGTAGAGATGGGGGTATTCATATACGAATATGAATACCCCCGCACAGGTGGAGATAATGAGGGTCTGCCAAGCCACTCCTGGCATGGGGCGGAACGACAAGCCTCTGTACCAGGTCAAAGAGTAGCTTGGTGGTTGCGATCTCCGGAGCTATAGGACGGCAGCGTGGACCCTATAGCATTAGTGCATCGGTGAGTGGACTGTCTGGCCCCATGGGGTTGGGCACTCGTTATCTCCATCTGTGCAGGGGTATTCATATTTATATACAAATACTGTACTCCTGTCAAGGTTTTAGGCTGAATTCTTTCTTGGCCCTAGCTGGAGATGTTGGGGATTGAATATGTGACCTTCTGCATGCCAAGCGTGTGCTTCATGTCTAAACCATGGTACTTCCCAAATTAGGAAGGGGTGGTGTGATCCTTCTACTAACCCTCCTGAAGGATGAGTGGCGCAGAGGGAAAGTGAAGTTCATTCACATGGTGCTTGAGGAATGGGCTGCGTTCCACCTTTGGACTCAGGCAGATTTCAGAGTACTCCTGGTTTTGCTCTCACCTTGCCTTCCCTGCCTACCTGCTCTTTAGGTGAGGAAGTAGTGGTATCAGTAGGTGTGGGTGGTCCTCTCTGTCATCCATCCCATCCACTTAAAGTGGTTGCCCATCCCTGACTGAAGCAAGTGAGAGGAAAAGTGTTTGCATATAAGAAGGGATGTATAGAAGGGTGAAGTAGCATGACAGAAATAGAGCTAAGACCTCTTTCAAGCAGAGCATATGTGATGAAAAAGAAATGAAACTGTCAAACACTGTGTACAAACCCCCTGGTTCCTGTTGGTTCATCTGATTGACAGTGTTGGCTGACTTCTCTTGACAGTTTTCAGGTAGGGGTCTTTCCCAGTTCTGCTACACAAGACTTTTTAAAACGAAGATGTCACAGATTGAATTTGTAACCTGCATGCACAGCCTGTGCTGTAACCAAGGAAAAAAAAAGGTCAGAGTAGCTAGAATTATTGATGGGAATAAAAGATGAGAAGGAAAAGGAATTAGCAGATGATAGCAGAAATGCATTCATTAGCCAAGGATGGGCAACTGTGGCTTGTCAGGCTGCAACTCCCATAATCTCTCATTGCTGGCTATACTGGATAGACCTGATGAAGCTGTAGACCAAAAAGTTTCTGAAAAGCTAGTTGTGCACCCTAGACTTAGAGATAACAGTGTTTCTGAAAATAAGAATGTAACTGGGAAGTGTAATGTGGGAAAATGACTTATGGGGAGTTTTGCTTTATCAAGAGACATTTGCTTTGTAGCAGGCAATAATGTAAACAAGTAGTTCCCAACCTTGGGTAACCCAGGTGTTCTTAGACTGCAGTTCAAGGTTCTCTCTAAGGTGAGTGTGCAACTCTGCCCCTCTCCATGCAGGGCTCCTCTGCTTTGTGCTCCCACAGTGATCATTTTCATCCCCTTTGGTTCTGGTCATGACAGAACCTGGGGGGGGGGTGGCAGAGTCGCATGAGTGTGTGAAGCCACATACATGCAAGGGGCAGAGCCCCACCCAGCAGAGCTGAAAATTAGAGGGAATGTTGTTGCATTTCCCAAAAGCTTTCACCATCAGCTGTGCTGGCCAGGGTTTCTGAGACCTGCAATCCAAGAACACCTGGGTTATCCAAAGTTGGGAACCACTGATGTAAGCAGTAGCCAGATAGATGTCTGTTGCGGAATGTTCCTTGTGGCTAATAAATGTAATATTGTCCCATTAAAAAAGATACATACTAGTTTTTGACCTCAGTATGGGTTGAAGTCAAGATTTCAGAGCTTAAAAGTGTCCGATTATTTTTGGACACTTTTCTTGTCATCTTTCTTCTTGTGGAATGGTGCCGCAGCATATTGAGTCTTAACAGTATAGTCGAGAGGCAGGCATACATTCTGTCCCATTGAAATAAATGGGATTTCAGTTTTATGGCTAATGTACAAAGTACATTAGGGATCATACAGGCTTTCATTCTGCTGACGTTGCTTAATTTTCGCAAAAATCCATTGTTTGCATTAGCACAGTGTATATTGCCCTGGTCATCCAAATGAATCTGAGTATCCAGGTAAAATGCAAAGTAAATGATACATTGTTACTTCATTCTAATAATAATTTTCATGTTTGAAAGAAATGTTTGGGATATGTATAAATACAGAATTTCAATGATCTTCACTGTGTTCTGCATTTGAGATCTTGTAGCCTACTCATATTGTCTAGTAATTTGATGGTTATTGAGCACTGACCTTAATTTTATACAAGTTAAAGCTTGAGTATTGCAAGACTAGTGGCCGATATTACATTAAAAATTGTTACATTAAAAACTCAGCTTGAGCTTTCCATTCCATCTGTGTTAGAGAGTAGAAATCCATCTTGGCATGCTTTCAGACTATAACTTGCACCAATGACAAATGGGTATGGAGAAAGAAGGCTCTCATGACATGAAATGATTGGCAAATAAGTAGGCACGCAGCTTGCTGGCTGACATTTCAGAGTGCTGGTTCTCCTTGTGGGACAAGCAAAACTGCTAGGGAATGTTTGTCCTTATCTCTTTCCCTTCCTTCCCTGACTCAAATATACATGCAGTATACCGTAATTCAAGGTTTAGGAGAAGTGATAGAAGAAATGGAGAGGAATTGTAGAGGATGAAGTAGGTGCAGTGATCTCTAATCAGATTCTTGACATATAGAAGTGCTATTTTTGCTTACGGTATCTTTCCACTCCCTAAGTTAGGCCACAGGATTCTGAGTACACATTCATATTAGTCATTGGACTCTTGAGAGCTAACCAGTGCCATATGTCATGTAAGGAAGTTACTTATAGGAAAGCATGTGATCATCAGTTCTATATTTGAATACACATGGTGGAGACTGTAGTACTTTTGCTGGTACAGATAATCTCTTCAAAGACAGACAGTTGAGTTTCTGAATAATTTTTTTCATGTCTGTTTAATATTTTAGAATTATCTGACAGGATCACTGCTGGTGATCTTTCAGCACACCTGTCTGTTCTTTTCAACCTGTGGCAGTGATGTTCTTGTACAATGCACAGCTTTCTACTTGTCTTGTAAATTTTTTGTGTTCTGGGCCCATCCTGCTGTGATGAAAATGGCCAGGCATGTTGCATAGTGGTAGTGCAAGACCTGGATGCTGCCTCTATACTAGAATGCACTGGAAAACATAATACATGACTTGGGAATATCAGTTTAACCATTTTAAATTAATAGTTTGAAAGTCTCATGATTTAATTTATTATTATTATTAGCAAAAGTGTCCAAAAGTGCATTTTCTGCCTCTAAAAATGTGATTTTGGCCTTCTTAAGAAAGATGGCAGCCAGAAGATTTCATATTGTTACTGTCAGGTATGCAGAGAATCCTGAAGAGTTGTTTGGTCTTTCTAAATGAGGCAAAACTGGGAAATTGTTATAGAAGTTTGCTTGAAAGTTTGGATGATGTTTTATGAACACGAACCACACCGGAGAATATTGCTAGGGTACAAGAAAAATTATTTAGTGCACTGTTTTTATTTTTCCTTTTAGCAGAGGATACTCAGTCTTCTGTGCAACACAATGATGCACCTACAGCAGTGGTCCCCAACCTTTTTAGGACCGCAGATCTGCTGAGCCTCTGAGGAAGGCAGGGCACCCCCCTGCGCTCACGTGGGTGTGTGCTCTCTTGGGTGGGGGAGTGCATGTGCGCCCGCTAAGCGGTGGGGGAGTGCATGTGGTGCATGTGTGAAGGGGTGGGAGAGCGCTCACGCTGGCGCTGGCACGTGTGTGTGCGTGCAAAACAGCTGTGGGGAGCGGAGTGCATGCAGGGGGGGAGGTCTGTCTCCACGGCCCGGTTCAGCTCAGGCCACGGACTGGCACCGGGCCACGGACTGGGGATTGGAGAACTCTCAGCTACAGTACATGCTTTTAAAACTGATACTCCATGTTTTGTCCATGTGGTTGCAGCTAGTCTTGTGATGTAGCAGGAAAGCCAGATCATGGCCAGATTTCCCTAATATTACTGTTTCTGCATCAGGTTTCCTGCCATGCCAGAAGGTCAGATACTTTAATATGGGAAAGTACGCCTTGTTAAAATCAGAGTTGTCCTGCAGGTGGGGGTTTAATACAGAGTAATTTGGACCAAACTTTCCGAAGAAGCTTGTGAAACTTATTAACCCACCAAAAATATTAGTAATCCCATGCATCCACAGACCTGATTTTTTAATGATTTGTGCCATGTTCATGGCCCCAAATAAGAGGAAAGAATCAATCTTCCATTTCACAAAAATCCTTTTTTCCTGGTCATATGCAGAGGATTTTTTACCTACCATAGACCATCAGGCCTGTAAAGTTGGTCTCTAAACTATGTCTTCTATACCTGCTTGGTACAGAGTTTCTTTAATACCTGTTGCAGAAACTTTAAAGAAAATAATTTATAATCTTACTTCTCATAAAAGAATGGTATAACTCCCAATGACTTTTTTCCCCTCTTTTAATAGATTGCTGAAGCTGGAAAGGAGTCCTTGCCTTCTTGGCTGCACTGGGAACCAGAGACCAGCACCTTGGAAGGTCTCCCACTTGATACAGATAAAGGCATTCATTATATCTCTGTAAATGCAATGCATCTGGAATCTAATGGAAGTTATGTGCCCCAAACTACCAATGTATTTTCCATTGAAGTTCACCCTGAAGATCATAATGAACCTCAGTCAGTGCGAGTGGCTTCCCAGGATGTGAATGAAGCCACACCATTTGTGTGTAGTGCAGAGGAACCAGTCACTATCTTGACTGTAATTCTGGATGCTGACTTAACAAAAATGACACCAAAGCAGAGGATTGAACTTTTAAACCGAATGAAAACCTTCTCAGAAGTGGAACTTTATAACATGAAATTAGTTCCAGTAGTAAACAATAGACTCTTTGACATGTCAGCCTTTATGGCTGGACCAGGGAATGCAAAGAAAGTGGTGGAAAATGGAGCCTTATTATCATGGAAACTGGGGTGTTCTTTGAGCCAAAACAGTGTCCCTAACATAAGCAGTGTTGAATCCCCAGCTAAAGAAGGTACAATGTCTGCCCATCTTGGCTACCCTGTTGTTGGCTGGCATATTGCTAACAAGAAGCCTAATCTTCCAAAGAGAATAAGGCGGCAGATTAATGCTACGCCAACACCAGTGACTGCTGTTGGACCTCCAACAACTGCCCTCCAGGAGCCACCAACTAGAATTGTTCCAACACCCACTTCTCCGGCCATTGCACCACCCACAGAAACAACAGCTCCTCCTGTAAGAGAACTTGTTCCATTACCCAAGAAACCCACAGTTACTATTAGAACAAGAGGTGCCATTGTACAGACACCAACACTTGGACCAGTTCAACCAACCAGAGTGGTGGAAGCAACTAGTACTACCCCTGGCCAGATTCGACCAACAGCGACTGGACAAGTAGAACCTACTGCAGTAGTTACACCACCCACAACAAAGAAACCCAAAGGAACCACACCAAAACCATCCACCCCAATAAGTACCGATACTGGTACAACACGAAGACCCAGACCTACGAAAACGTCTCGGCCTCCAAAGCCACCTCGGACTACTAAACCCTCCCTTGTTGAACAGAAAACTGTTTCTCCACCAACCCGTGTTCGTACCACTACAGTTGGAATACCCCGTGTGCCGAATGATCCACCAGTGCTGAAAAACCACATAGACCGGGTAGATGCATGGGTGGGCACATACTTTGAGCTCAAAATACCTTCAGATACTTTCTATGACAAAGAAGATACCACCACGGATAAGTTGCAACTGACCATGAAACTAGAAGATGAGAAGCCATTGGAAGAAAACTCTTGGGTGCAGTTCAATAGCACTAGTCAGCTAATGTATGGACTACCAAATCACACCCATTCAGGCAGACATGAATTTTTCATGCATGCGACAGATAAAGGTGGCCTGTCAACTGTGGATGCTTTTGAAATATTTGTGCATGCTCTAGGACAGGATCTTGTCCCTCCAGTTAAATTTAAGGCCAGGTTCCATGGAGACCATAATGCAGTTGCGAATGACATTCATAAGAAAATCCTCTTGGTAAAGAAGCTAGCTTTTGCCCTTGGAGACAGAAACAGTAGCACTATTACAATAGAGAACATTGGCAAAGGCTCTGTTGTAGTTGAGTGGACAAACAATACTCTGCCTTTGGAGCCATGCCCCAAAGAAAAGATCCGTATCATGAGCAAAAAAATTTCTGATGATGTTGGTGGTCCAAGCCCAGCCTTTGTCAATGCCTTAGAGCCAGAGTTTCGGCCCATTAACATTTCAGTAGTTGGTGCTGGTAGTTGCAGGCACATTCAGTTCATTCCTGTGACAAGAGAGGGACTGCCTACCACAGCCCTACCTACAGTTGTGCTTCCACGGGATCCAGAAAAGACAAGTGAAGATGACGTGTACCTACACACAGTAATCCCAGCAGTAGTGGTGGCAGCCATTCTGCTTATTGCTGGGATTATTGCTATGATTTGCTATCGCAAGAAGAGAAAAGGTAAACTCACCATAGAAGACCAAGCCACCTTTATCAAGAAGGGAGTTCCAATAATCTTTGCAGATGAGCTGGATGACTCCAAGCCTCCACCTTCCTCCAGCATGCCCCTGATTCTACAGGAAGAGAAAGCACCTCTCCCACCTCCTGAGTATCCAAATCAGAATATGCCAGAAACCACTCCACTCAACCAAGATGCCATAGGGGAGTACACGCCACTGCGGGATGAAGACCCCAATGCACCTCCCTATCAGCCTCCCCCTCCCTTCACAGCACCCATGGAGGGGAAAGGGTCCCGTCCGAAGAACATGACCCCATACAGGTCTCCACCTCCCTATGTCCCCCCTTAATGAACAAGAGATGCGTGCGGAGACAGGGCCTATAGTTCCACACCAGTGTCGTCTGGGATCAGTGGGCAGCAAAGCTGTTACCAACTAGAAAACCAACAGAATCTTGAACATTGCCTGGACCCCAGCAGGCCCTCTCCGAAATGCATTTGCTACACCAGAGTGCTTGTGGAACTTTCGGGACACTGATTTTATTTTTGCCTAACAGCTTATGTTTTGTTTATTCATAGAAAAAGAGAAAAAAAAATCTTGGCTCAAAAAGTATTTCTGACAGCAGGCGTCTCAAAGCATCTTGTGCAAAAGAAGACTGGCTGGACATGCAGGCAGCACTTAGGGGTGGCACGCTGGGTCTCTGCTGTTTGCCTTTAAAACTAACTGTACTGTTTTTTCTATTCACGTGTGTCTAGCTACAGGGCATAACATGAAACGTAGCCTATACAGTTAAAGTCAGAGGACTTTCTGAGGTCAACATTAAGTTTTTACATTTAATTGCTGTTATCTAAACTTGTATGTATAGATTTGGGGAAGGGAAGGGGAAAATGCTTTACTACAAATAAGCTTGAGGGTTGTTTCCAATGCCAACCAGGCTGAGGGACTGTCTTTTTTAATCAAAGGAATCCTATTTTTTCACACATATAATCCAGTCATCATCTGGGGTTCTTTTTTGCAAATAGTAGTTGAGCAAACTTGTTGCTCTTACCTGCTCTTGCTGGATAGATGCCGCAGGCATCTGTCAGAAAAGGGAGTTTTGAGAGCTCTGTGCAATTACCAAAAAAAAGAAGGAAAGAAAGAAAGAAAGAAAGAGCAGACTTACATTTTGGAAACAGGAGGCCCCAAGAGTGGTATTTGCAGGCTGCGAGGGTCATGGTGCTGCACTGAGACTTTTCACCTGGAAGGCATCCTCTGGCTTTTGAAACACTCTTGAGATATTTCAGTGAAGATGCAATATTTTTATGTAGTGTAATGCAGTTTTCCTCACATCAAGACTCCTCCTGGACCACAGTATTGGAACAGCCCCTCTTCTCCTCCCAGACTGTCTGGCTGTCCCAGCCCCACTCCCTTACCACCCTTCTCGCGCACAAGCAGACGCAATAGTAGCTGTCTGGCGGTTGGCAACATAAATTTAAAGCGCCAGAATAGTTCATAGTAAAAATCAGTGAACTCTCAGTTCTAATTTTTTACTAAATTTTTGATACAGCCTCAAATTGTTTTATTAAAAAATAATTAAAAATGGTAATGCTGACAGCAGTTTGTATGAGCTTAGCTTCTTAGTATCATTTCAATGGGACTGACTGCTTTGCTCATTTCGGATTTTGTTTTCCCCTTTTTGGTCTCTTATAGTCATTATTTTAAACATTTAGAGCCATGTTTAGGTTTCTTGCCTTTTTTTAAAAAAAATGAACTTCTGGATATTTCTCTTGAAAAGTTGGAGCTATCCTCAGGGTTGCTCCCATGCCTTTTGTTTTCTTTTTTGAGAAAGTTGTTTTATGCATTTTCCCTTATCCATTTGAGACTATTTTGGTACATCAGAGGGAGGGGAAAAAACCCTTTGCAATAATGAGTCCATCCCCTGGCTGGGGGGGCTGGGCAGCCTCTGGCTGACTGCACACAGAGCAGACACTTTTAAGCCATATTGACTGTTTTGCAAAGTATGTTTGTGGGCTGACATGGCCACTGAACACACAAGTGGATGAATGGCTCAAACGACCTTCACCTCTGACCTTGCTAGGGTGGCATTTCCCATCAAGCCTTTTCCAAAACACAGCTACAGTACTTGAACAGGATTTTGCCTATCCAAACCAATATTAACTTGGCCATGGCCCCATATAATTCTGCACTCTGCTTCTGCTGCCCCCTCAGGTGGTTAGAGGGATTTCAGTGTTGAAGTGAGGGTGACTGTAAAAGAATGCTTCAGGTTTCGCCTTTGTCGAGTGTGAGAAGTACAGATTTGCCCTACAGAGTCTCTCCCCTCCCCTCGCAGGGCTTGAATGTTGGCATGTGTCAGAGCTGAGGAGAAGCGGTGGTTTCTTCTTTTTCTCATCGTGCAAGAGAAATGGTTCAAGGGAAGTGGATTAACTCACCCCACTTAGGGCACCCTGCTTTGGAACAGACACTGGAAATATGTTGGTAAAAACTCCCTGCCCCCAGCTAGCAGCTATGGCAACACACTACCAAAATCTATCTTGGCAGGCCTGCGTTTCAGATCTTTCCAAGTGATCGACGCAGAGAGCCTCCTAAGCCCAAATGCTGCAAGTTAGAAGGGCCTTCCAAACAGTGCCGTTGCCCCTAGCAACTGATGCCACTTTGTACTGGTCATGCGCAAGCGCAGACAGTTTCAGGCCTGGGCCTACCTGTCACCATAGAAACTGGAGGCAAAGGGGCAGTGAACGGAATAATAACAATGGCATTCTCATCAGCCGCCTTCCCCCTAAGCTCCAGAGCTGTTTGTTTATGCCACTAGACACTGTAATGGTGGGAGAGAATCTTGTATTAAAAATGTTCACCAACCACTGATGTGTTTTTATGTCCTTATATAATTATTTTAAAAATGTGTTTTCTGCATTCTGTAAAGAAACATATCAACTAAATAAACCAGTGTACTTTACTACAAATGCAGAGGCTGGTGAGCTCTTCCATTGGACCTCTTCAAGTTCTGAGCAGACAGTGCTCTCATATCATAGGAAGCGTCAGAAAGAAAAAAAAGGCCATAGGTGGTATTATGGAAGAATCCCAGGGAGTTCACGACTGCTCAATTGAGCAGAGAAGGCTGCCGCTGGAAGGGTGCATGCCAATCTGTAGTGTGGAGTTCCTGGAGGCTTACTTAGTATTGGCTTAAATGATTTTACAGATTCAGAGAAAAAAACTATCAGTGTAGATATACAACATGCTATTTATCTTAAATCCTCCCTGATGAGTAGATAAAAGGTTGTTGGGGTGTTCTTTCTTTCCTTTCTTTCGAAGTCTGTGGAATATACTAAAGCTGCAACTGATTTTATTCTCCTAACAAAAGGGTGCTGGGGGCTCCACTTTCAAGACTAAAGTTGTGGTTCTCCATGTTTTTTATTTGATATTCTGTGTGTAATATCATTATTCATCCTTATAACCTTCCAGTGGGATAGGATCCTTTCCCCTTACAGAAGAAGAGGTGTATTGAGAATTTACTGAAACTCTACCTGTGTGTTTAATTTTAAGTACTGTATGTATCTCTTAACTAGAACTCTTTAATTATACACAAAAGTGGCTTTTTAAATGAAAAATCCCCTATCTTCTAAGAAAGAAAAAACAATACCAGTGGGTGGGTTTTTTCATACTTTCTGTCATAATCTTCCCTGGTTTTCTCAGTGGAGGATTACATTTCTCCCAGCCTATGACTACTGATTTATCCTTTAGCAAATATTTGGAAGATGATGGCTCAGTATAAATGGGAGAAAATATGATTTTTATATACTATATACATAGTACAGACTCCATAGTTATTCCTTTGTTACTAGTTTTTTTTAGCTCTCCAGCATTGCTGGTTTTTTTAAATTAATTAATAACACAAACAGACATTCAAAACAAACACAAAACACATAATCGGGGAGAAAATTTTCCATATATCCATATAACATACATTACTGACTGCACGTACCATATTCCCCTACTTAACATCTTTAGGCCAAATCCATTTGATATATAATTCTGACTACATAACCTCCAATAATTAACGTACATAAATTGTCAATATATAAACTTAAACCTGTATTAATCTTCTATTCAAGCCACTCTTAACTGCATAAACCAACTGTAGTTCATGAATTACAGTACTTAATATCCTCATGTTTCTGGCTTGTCATCAGTACCTTCTAAACAATTGTGGTCAGAATATGTAATCTAGTTTAGGCATTACCTGTACTTATCAAACCATTTAAGACATTCAGCAAGTACTTTCCCCATTTTCGTTATATTTCTTTGCTCCACGTGTGAACCAGGGATGTGAAATCTCTATAGATTCTTTCACCTGCATATCCTTCTATCCAATACTTATCATCAGCAATTCTAATTTCATCATACTAGTTTTAAAAATCTTCTGTTTCCATTCTAGGAACATGTTAAGAAAGGGACTAAGTATCTCAGATGCTATTATGTACCCTATATCATTTATATGGGCTGGAAATATCAATAAAACAAGACCTTGATTGAGTATAATTTTCAGCAGAATTTGTTGTATTTAAGATCATAAGACAAATTCTGCTGGATCAGATCAAAGACCTAATCTAACTCAGCCAAAAGCTCCAAATATTGTAACATTGCTTTATGGGGAGCTGCTCCAGCTCCTAAAATATTTTCCACATTTGCAGTATTCCTTTTCAGGTGCAACCGGAACTCAGCACACTACCCCAAGAATGGTTTTATTGTTAGATTTTATACAGATATCCTTCAGGAAATGCAGTAAGTTACCAGGAGACTATGTGTGTTGAAAGTTATATGTTTATTTATTTATTTAAGAACTAAGATATGGAGAACCCTCAGAGCATTAAAATAACCTGAAACAATTTCCAGTGAGCCCATAAATTAATTACTGAGATGAAGGGAACTCAAAGTAGTCAAACTGCTACTTACAAGATAATGCTCAAAGTATCACTTCACTAATCCTCACTGTTATCATTTTAGCCACTTTTAATAAAGTCATATTAATTAAAAATCACTTTCCAAGGCACTTTACTTTGTCCTTTACCTCCTTGTGGCCAGGAATTTGTCATATTTTATTCTGTTTCTAAAACTGGTGAAACCTGGCCAAATTGGCCAGGTACACAGTACAGGCAAAATTGTTTACCCCCATGAATCAGTAAGCTTAGAAATAACATTAAAAGATTAACCTGGTTCTGGCAAGACATCGCATGCATTTTCATCATTTGTTTGTACACAGTGCAAGTGAAATCAGTTTGTGCAAATATCTCCATGCCATTTAACCCAGTTGGCAGCACTTGGCAGCTCACTTATTCACAAATGCAAATTTTAAATTGGTTAAAATATTGCTTATCCTCAGAGGAACACAGTGCCCACATGACCAGAGGTCTGCTAGTAGCTCAAACTGCAAATGCTTAGATGGATATAAAATAGAAAAACCTGGGATGCTATATTTCATTTTATCTATTTGCACTAACAAATAGAAAACACTCCTAAAAACAGTATTATGCATTTTTAAGCATTGTTCAGCCATGTCATAAGATTCTTTTGGCACTGAGTGGAAGTGAACTGGGTTGTGCCATTGTGAGGCTCTGAGTATGTTCCCATGTTAAATCTTTTAAAGGTAGATGTATTCAAGGGATGGTTCAAGTTTCCATGTCCTTCAACCATTCTTAGGATGATTTGTTACATTATTCCAGCTTAGGTTGCAGCTATTGCACATATTATATCAATCTTTTCTCTGAGATGTGCATTTAATATTCCTTTTGTTTGTTTATGATGTATGGCTAATTAATTAGCAAGCTCCCTGTTGTTACAATAGGCATTGCTGTTACAAGCATCCAGTCAGAACTAAAGTCTTTAAATTCAATTGGATGTAGTATTAAGTAAGTATGTATAAGATTATGGTGGAATAGACTTCTTGTCGCTTTATTGTTATGGGCCAATGCCTACTTTGTCAGAAACATTAAGTATTATCCTCTGTTGGCAGATACATGCATGCACCATGCATATATACATAAATGCATGCATACCACACACATAGAGGAACACTGAAAAATAAGCTGTGAGGTCAAACAGTTGTCAAAATCTAAGAGTTGTGGTGTGTAATCATCGCCTAGGCACTCTTCCATTGCCTTAAAGTCACCATTCTTCAACAAGTAAATTTGTTTCTATTATTTTAGGCCGCAATCAAGACAACAGCGTCTTCTTGCACTAGAAGTATTAAATTAGCATAGTAAACCAATGGTGGCCACTATGCTTATCTTGTATAATTTAAACCTTACCCCTGAACAGTCTCTTGCATTTGATAGCCATTTGACACTGTTTAATATTTCCCCTCTCTGTCCCAGAACTTGGAAAAAATGATCTTCTGAAATACAGCTGGCCATGCTACCTGCTGAATTTTGTAAGACATGTTCAAAAGAAGTAGCTTTTCCATATTTTGCAGGAGTTTTCTGGATATGCATCTGCCCAGAGAGAGTAACAATCCAGGCATCTGACAGAGTGTGTTTTTGTCTGTAGAAGCTGACACCATAATAACTCAGTTCATATTTTTAAGTTGCTACAAGGTACTGTTTCTACGTCCTCATGGACAGTTCCTGATAAGGTGAGCATGCTCAGGATTGTTGCATGTATCTTTAGGGCAGCTGGCTTGAAGGAAGTATGACGTTGAGCCTCTAGTTCTTATTCTCTCTAGAAAGCAAACGTGGTTCCTGTTAAGGTGGATAATTTGGCAGGGTAGCAGCTGCCTCTCCTGCATTCAGCGATTGCAAGCCTGCATCGTTCTGCTACTATTTTTGGTGTGTGGCTCCTGCTGCACCCTAAGGCTCTGAATTGGATTGTTCAGCCGTGTGTTAATCAGGCTGCATTCAGAGAAAGAGTGTGGAGAGAATGAGAAAATGGATGCTTAAAAGCTTTCAAGCGTCTCCTTCGAAGAGGCCGAGTGTCTGCGTGTCTTCAAGTGCCAGCCGTACCCGCTGCCTTCAGAGCGGCTCCCCACTTTCTTCTGCGGGAAGCCATGCAATTTGCTAGCATTGTGTGAGAGGGAGCGCATGGCAGAGCAGATAAGAATCCCTAGCCCTGCTTTTGTTAGCTTGTGCTCTCGAGGGTAAGGCGAGGTGCGTTGGAGAGCGAGGCTAGGCTCCTCTCACAGTCCCTGTTGCTTCTCCAAAGCATTTGCTCCCAGCCTCACAGTTCTGGCAGGCTTACAAGCCCATCCCATCTATTTTAAACTCTGCCAGGATGAGAGAAGGAAAGGTTCTGTGAAAGGCCTTCCCTATTTATGGCTCTTACAGTACAAGTTTACCATCAGTGCAGGGCCCCTCCCTCCTCCAGACCAGCTTTCTTGAAAGAGAATCTTAATGTAGAAGCCTTTTTAAAACCCTTAAAAAACCAGTTTGTTTTGTCAGAGGGGCCTAGTGTCAACCCAGCTACATCCAGCGGTTTGGAATAATCAAGCAATTTTTAGCTTCTCCAGGGATAGCCAATTTTGAATGTTGTAACCTGACTCCAGAAACATTAGCCATAATTTAAGGGCGAGGCATGAAGGAAGGTTCTCGGGGTTGTTTTTGCTGGAGCTGCTTCCACCACAGCTCAGAGCAATCCCCCTTCCTTTCCTTCAGTCACTTCACAGGAAAGTTCAAGCAGGGCCCAAGGAAGTTTTTCTAGAGGGTTTTAGCCCTGAGCTGCTATTGGCCAAGGCGCCCTCTTCTATGAGACCCTGCCAGCTTCCCTTTCATGGGCTCTGCTGCTGATGTCTCTGTTCGCTACCCTGCAGCGTCTGCCATTGTGTACTTGTCATTCCCAAATTGTGGCTCTGCAGCTGATGACAGCTTCCACTAACCTACTAACTTGACATGATTGCTGTGAATACTGGGTGAACAGGCAGCCTGTGCTTTATCCTGTCTCTCATGATCAGGCAAAAGGGGGGGGAGGGAGAGAAAAGG